TCCCGCCGGCAGCCGTAGCACTTCCTAAAGCTACTGTAATAGTGGCGACGCTGCAAGCGAACAGGAAGGAGACTCCGGTAAAAGCTCCCCGGTGCTCTCTGGCAGATGCTTTGACCCTAAAAGCAGTGCCCAGCTGAGTGCTCTCCGTCACCTCTAACCCGACAAGAAGCCCTAACCCTGCCAGCAGGGACTTTGGTTACTGAAGACACACACAGGACACTGAGCTTATCGTCACAGCTCTGCACACCCACCAGCACAGACCCTAACTACACCAAGTCCCCGGCCATTAGCCATTGGACAAGCGGGCTGCCATCGACCCAGGCCAAGCGCCTGCTGTAACTCCTAAACAGGAGATACAACGTCCCAGGCAGAGTATGGTCTGGTCTCATGCATCTAGCTCAGCATTCAGACACGCTGGATTTGAGAAGAGATTTCTTTGGAAGGTGACTGTTCAGACAGGAATGAGGAGGAGCACAAGCAATATTAGAGAAAAAGAGAAAACAGACGTAAAACTCTTAAAGTTGGAACACACGTAACATTTTTATTAGCAAAGAAGCCAACTTTGGAAAGAAAAAAAATACAAGGCAGTTTGTTTCCCCCCCCCAAAATGCAACAAAAGCACCAACCGCTCCAGAAAAATCCCTGACGGCACCCCTAAAGACCAAGGCCTGCTCCCTCGGGAAGGCCGAAGGCACTAAGCTGCTGCCGTTAGTGTGTAGTCCTGTAAGCACAGGCAACTCTGAACAACGATCCACAACTCTAACCGGCTTTAAACAGAAGAACGTTTACTCCACACATGAGGAAGAAGATGTGAAGTGCTTGGTCTCACGAGACACATTGCTGCCGTCTTCCTACAATGCAGTGCCGAGCAGGACTGTGTTTCTTCTCAAACTCCTGCAGAAGACAGTGCTGGGAACTGAGTATTAGCACAGTTCTCACCCAAAAGTTGACTATGGATTTTCTGTCATTAACATGTCTCTTAAGAAGTACAACTTTTTGAAAAGGCAATTGTGAAGCAGCATATGCTTTTAAGTATACGGATTGTGTTACTTACCTCTTATACCTCACCTGCTGCTTAGACAAAAAAAAAAAAAAGCCCGCACTGCTTCCTAGCTGAGCAGGAATAAGCTCAGGGACGGCAAATCCCCCCCAAAAGTCATTACTTCTCAAACTATGTTCTCAAAATATACCACTGAAGTATCAGGTCATACAATCATGTTCTTTCATCATACTCAGAAGCCTACCATGTATATCAAAAACCAAGATACACAGCTCTACTACAAGTAGAACATTCCAGTCAGTGGTCATACACTGTCATATCCAACAGCTCTCAAATGAGGAAACTTTCTGCGAGAGCATGCAAGCATTTCTGACCAGTTAGTACAACTCTGGATAAATTATCTCCTCACCACAATTTCTCAGGTTCCAACTAGAAGCCTCAAGGAAAATCTGGCGAGCTCGAACCCTCTGCTCTCCACTAACATAGAATGTTGTTCTTACAAGTGGAAAAAAATAAACCTGCTCATGTCTCTGTTGGGGTGACAGGAAAGGAAGACCTCCCCAACGGGTTTGAATGACTTTTCAAATGTCTTCCAACCAGATTTGTGTAATATTGAACCTCCACTGGCAACCTTTCTTTATTCTCCTGAGATGGCAAAGCAGAAAGCGTATCAGAACTCAATCTTTTCTGCATCTATTATTCTTCATCATGCATATATAGGAACAGGTATTCTGTGAACACCAGATAAACAGTACTCCAAGACATGCAATTTTAGCGTGGTTCAGGACATGAAAAGAAGATGCAAATACAGAAGATGTGCAGAAAATTACTTTTCCCTGCAAATTTTGAACCCACTAGCCAATCATGCACAGCTGTTATAGAACTATGCAGAGAACCTTAAGACTAATTTGAATACAATTTAAGTCAAGGACTAGGTTAAAAAAGGCATTCCCTCAGAGGAAAGTTACAGCAGACTTCAAAGGGCTGTATTTTCTACCAGCTGATCAGCCACACTGAGAAAGGCCAGCAGAGAATTCTCCTATTCTGCTAGATATGAGATAGTGAAAAAACAAATAAAAATACAAGGTATTACAAAATGAAAACTAGGAAAGGTACATGTAAGAGGTGGGAAAAGGAACACAGGGATACAGCCCACAGGATAAGCTTAGTGTGTTCTGTTCTGTCCTGTCCACAGAACCTGTCTTTTCAAAAAGTGTAGCAACACCCACCCTGCTTGACTTCTGGTGTGGAGAGTATTCAACAAAAGGTCGTTACAAGCAAACATTTACCCTCTTTATAAGGGCTGCAATTTCTCTTTCAACATTATATTTCTCTATAGCCACAATGGCACACTCCACAGCATGTTGTTGAACCTCTTCTGACATGTCCGCATTTTTTATCACAGCTGTCTGATCACCCGCTGTATCAAACAATGAAAAGAATTCAAAGTTGCAGGAGCAGCTGCCTGCCAAGCAGGCACGCAGGTGTCACCACTCACAGCCAGTTCTCGGGGCCCACGCCGTGCCCAGGGCCCCGGCCGTG